TACAGTGTAAGTGTGCCTATGTTAATACGTACAGTGTAAGTGTGCCTATGCTAATACGTACAGTGTACATATATATAAGCTGATACGCACAGTTTAAGTATGCCTATGTTAATACGTACAGTGTAAGTGTGCCTATGTTAATACGTACAGTGTAAGTGTGCCTATGCTAATACGTACAGTGTACATATATATAAGCTGATACGCACAGTGTAAGTGTGCCTATGTTAATACGTACAGTGTAAGTGTGCCTATGTTAATACGTACAGTGTAAGTGTGCCTATGCTAATACGTACAGTGTACATATATATAAGCTGATACGCACAGTTTAAGTATACCTGTGCTAATACGTACAGTGTAAGTGTGCTTATGCTTAAACGCACATTGTACATATACATATGCTGATACATACAGTGCAGGTGTACTTATGCTTAGACGTACAGTGCAAGTGTACTTATGCTGAGACGTACAGTGCAAGTGTACTTATGCTGACACGTACAGTGTAAGTCTACCTATGCTAATACGTACAGTGTACGTGTGCCTATTCTAATACGTACTGTGTATGTGTATGCTGATACCTACAGTGTATGTATGCTGATATGTACAATGCAACTGTACCTATACTGATATGTATAGTGTAAGAGTAAAAGAACTCATACTAACACAGCTGTAAATACGCTAATGTGAGCGTGTGGATGTGAGTATATATATGCTATTGAGAGGGCACATATGCTAATGTGAGTGGACAATGTATAAGCTGTTGTGAGTATATGTATACTAATGCACATGTTTGTATGCTAGTGTGAGGATATAAATGCTAGCACGAGTATACAATGTGAGTGTACTTGTGCTGATGTTTTCTCTAACCACAATCTTATTGCATTTGCATTTAGCAAACACATTTTTATTGGTCCTCTTTAACAACTAACATGGGATAAAATGGCTGAATAGTTGAATAATGGCTTTACTGCAGTATTTCCCAATCCGGTCCTTGGGGATACAGAGGCAGTCCACGTTTTTGCTCCTCCCAGTTCCCGAACAAAAACGTGCACTGTTTGGCAGGGAGTTCGGAGCAAGCAAAAGCATGGACTGGATGTGGATTCCCAAGGACCGGATTGGGAAGCACTGCTTTAGTGAAATGATTAAGTGCTGAGGCTGGAAACAAAAGTAATGTCAGCAGGGGTTGATAGCCATGGGGACTGAGGCTGGGCAAAGCAGGAGGCAGCGCGGGGAGCAGGTGACTCACAGCTGAGAAGGGGCCGGTGGCGTCGGTACGGGGCGGCCAGGGGACCGAGCCTCTCCTGCCGCTGAGCCGTAGCACGGGATAGGTGGCCCACGTGCAGTAGGCTGCCCACCGTCAGGCTGTGCAGGTACACTGGCTCCACCAGACGGGAGAGCAGCGCCCCCTGGAGGCCGAGAACATTCCACCTGTGGAGACAACCACGGCTCAGGGTATTTAGGCTGGCAGTCAAGGAGCTCTACTTTAAATTAAATGGATCTAGGTTCAACCTGCACAGGGAGCAGCACTTATACCCTTGAGAGGGTATTTATAGTTAAAAGCATCAAACATGTGCTGCATTCATCAGTAGGAAAAAAAAAAAAATCCATCAAAGGGCCGTCCAGCTACTGAACTTACAAACTACATTACCCAGGAACACTTGGGGCCATCTGCTTGCCAACTGCATTTTTGAGATAATCTAGACCAGGGGTCTCCAACTCCGGTCCTGGAGAGCTACTATCCAGTAGGTTTTCTATCCTACTTGGCTTCTGATGAGCCACACCTGCTCCTGGTATTTACCTGAGAGCAGGTGTGGCTCATCAGAAGCCGGGTAGGATAGAAAACCTACTGGACGGTAGCTCTCCAGGACCGGAGTTGGAGACCCCTGATCTAGACGGTCAAACTCTATTGTGCGGAAAACCGATCATCTTGCCTTTGGCGAGTACCGTATCTTATCGGATAACATGCCTGATGTACCCCGAGTGGAGTTTTTGTAAGGCTACATGAAATCCTTAGTTTGTGTGTTGCTTAAACCTACGGTTTAGTTTTGCAGAACCTTTAAACAATGTTGTACCTACAATACAAAACATGTCGGTTTCTGATTTGTTTAATTAGCTATACAACATCCTCTTTTATAGCCACTAAAACAGCTGACATTTATTCACATATTTCTATGGATTTAACCGTTTAAAGAAAAACAAATTAATTTGCATTTTTATAGTGCATTTTCACAACATTACACTGTCTCAAAGCTCTTTACATTATCCCTGCCCGAAGTCCCCAGAGAGCAAGGCAGAGGTGACAGTGGCAAGGAAGAGACCTTGGGAGGAGCCAGACTCAGAGGGGGAGCTCATCCTCCAGGGGTTGGCAGGGAGTCAAATGATAAAGATGGCAAAATCCTAATTTATAAAGCATAATTTTTAAGATGTGAGTTTAAACATAGAGGGCAGGCAGGTGATGGCAGGCAGGTGATGGCAGGAAGGTGCTGGCAGGCAGGTGCTGGCAGGCAGGTGATGGCAGGCAGGTG